GCTATGCAGGGCATGCAAGCGAGCAAACAAGAACAAACAAACAAGTGAAATGAAGAATAAAATTGAAATTGTACAATATAATATTGTTGTGGCTCATCTTATAATTCAGTCTAGAGAATGCACCAGACAGCATCTAAGACCTGCAAAAATCAAAATGTTCTAGGTGCGCCATTTCGTCCTTGCGCATTTTTCAGGGCAATCTCTATTGGGCTCAGGGCCATCTGTAAATTAGCTTAGATGGCCCACAGGGCCATCTCCCAAAATCCTTAATGTCATGCGCGCACACACACACACACACACACACACAGAGGCCCTATTGCAGAATCCCTCTCGCTTTCAGGTGGTTTTGATTGAGTGTCCACACGTGGACGTTTAAGGACTAAAAAACGATCAATTTTTCACTTTGCTGTTAGCAAATAATTTGGCGCTCCAGCTAACAGGAAGTCGCTGGCCATTGGCCTAATCACCTGTGTTGGCTTTATGTTTTTGGTCAAACATTTGTTTGTTTCACATTTGCATTGATTTAATATATAATTGTTCTAATTTAATAAAAAAATATATTTGAAAAAAAAACAACAACATATATTTCTTGGAGGTGCTTAGGGGGTGCTTTGGCAATCCTGGGGGGTGCTTCCCCCCTGGCGCCGCCCCTGGTCAGATGTCGATTCATTGTAACGGTGTCGTGTTACAGACGTGCTCCCCTTGTCACCTCTCACTCTCGCGTGTCAGCGCTGATAGAGAACTGCGCACAAGCACAAGCCTAGCTCATAAGCCGAGGACCACTGCGCAATGTGAGGCCCTATGCAGCCTGCATGATCGGCCTGTAGGGAGGGACGGCCCTGTCTGTGCCTATGCACTCGTATACTTTCTCTATATGATATGTATAGCAGTGCATGTTTTATGAATAGTGTCACTGTCACTTAGTATCTGATTGGAAAATTGTGTGTGTGTGTTTTTTTTCTTCTTCTTTTTGTCTATTTGTGTGTGTTCAAGTGCTGCCAGTATGAAAGAGAAGCCCCTCTCCTCTCTGTGCACCCCCGCTCTGGTGGTGGATGTGGACAAAGTGAAGAGAAATGCCCTGAGGATGATCGAGCGCTGTCAGAATCTGGGGGTCCAGCTTCGGCCCCACATGAAGACCCATAAAACCCTGTATGATAATAGGCGCAGTGACACACACTTAAATAGTACATTTGCACAAACCAGTCACATGTAATGGATGCTGTGTGTGTGTATCTGTGTTTATGTGCAGTGAGTGTGCTGACATCATGACAGGTGGATCACGGAGGTGCATCGTGGTCTCCACACTGGCAGAGGCCTGTTTCTATGCCGATCATGGGTTTGATGACATCCTCTATGCATACTCTCTTCCCCTTGATAAGGTCATCTCAACTCACTCAAAAAGACCAGTTGTATAGTAAATGTTTAGAATTTGTTGTGTTTTTTAAATATTTGAAAAGTGACAACAACTTATAAAATAAAAGTGCATCTTCAAATCCCCTTGATTAAGAATGTACTGTACATGCAAACTATAGCTACATTACTATATAAAGTAATATAACTTAACACGTTATGAAGACATTTTGACAGCTCCAATTGGAAAAGCAAATGATAAAACAGTTTTAATTCAATCTATTTAGTCGATTGTTTCAGTTTAAGAGTCCTGGTATTCACTGTAAACTGAGCCATTGTCAAGTTATAAATTAAACCTATTCCTACTATGTGTGGAAATGTCTACACATGGGTAATTGGGGAGGTGCTCACATCTACATATAATTAAAACATTGCTGAAACAGCTGACACTTATTCAATGACAAACATAGAAAATCATATATATTTTATGGACAAAAGTCACAGTTTGCACAATTACAAATGGTTAAGTTAATATCTTGCAAATTAACTGGAGTACTGTATGTTTTCTAAAAGTATGAAGTATTAGATTGGGAATATACTTTACTTGTCAGAGCATCGAAAGCACAGATGGATGAAAATCATTTAACTATATTGTTAACAATAGGACTTTTTGCCTTCCAACTCATACATTTTATGTTTAACATCAACATGCAGGACATTACAGTCACACATTTGATTTATTTTGTATTTTCTTACTGTATTACACTGTTCATTTCAAGCAATGTTCTTGCTTTATAAAGAATATCTTTATTAATATGTTTACAGTACTGTATATATTTCAAAATATGTAATTTACTTATTTACTGTTGTCTTACATCTTAGTACAATGTGCACTTTTTCATTTCTTTAGGTATGTATAAGAGATTATTGTTTTATTGTATTCTAAAATGGAGCAACTTTTAGTAGATCCACTTGCTCCATGGGGATAAATAAAATATTTCTGATTCTGATTCCAATTATCTTTGACATCTCACACACTCACACTAACGTATGTCTGTGTATGCGTGCTGACAGGTGGAGCGCTGTGCCGACCTCTCAGAGAGGCTGGATCTCTTCCAGATTTTACTGGATCATCCTCAAGCTCTGGATGAGCTCAAAAAGAGACCCCTGAGAGACGGTCGGCTGTGGCACGTCTGGCTCAAACTGGACTGTGGTAATGGGAGAGGTAAACACACAGCACAACCAGGACACGGCTCATCAATAACTGCTGAAATGTGATAGGTCAGTGTCAGCTGATCTTCTGTTTGTCATCTGCGTAGCTGGGGTCCTGCACTCGCAGCCTGAGGCGATCAGCTTGGCTCAGGCCATCGTTGGGACGAAAGGTGTGGAGCTAACAGGAGTGTACGCTCACTGTGGGAACAGCTATAACTGCAGAGGAGTGGAGCAGATTCAGGCCGTCGCCCAGGAAACCACTGACCTGACTCTGCAATTCATGGAAAAGTATGGCATAAAAAATATGGTCAAATGCAATTAAAGACCAAACATGTCAATATATAACCTGTCCACTGGCATATACTAGTTTTAGTATTTAAGAAGTACAGTTTCTTTTCTTTTTTTTATGATTGTACAATAAAGTAGAATAAAGTTGAGATAATAACAAAGGTTCTTTACTTTCCCTGCAAAAAAAATCAAAAACTGGGTTTATACTACTACTTTAAAAAAAAGTCAACCTATTTCAAAATTCAGCTTTGATATATTAAAGATGCTCTTATCCATATTTGTAAAAATTATTTATCTGTGTAAATGAATTGTGAAAAAGGTAATGCTCACTGAGATGTATCATCCAGTGATCTTCTCTTCTTTTGTTCAGACTGAAGGCTTCTGGGATCACCTGTAAATCCAGCATTGGCTCCACCCCTTCCTGTAGTCACCCAGTAAAAGACATGGGGAAGCTCAGCGAGGTGCATCCTGGGAACTATGGATTCTATGGTGTGTATTTATGTAGTTGAGTCAGTGTACCAGTTTGTTTATGCTGTTTTCTGATTGAAGTTAGTGTATCTAGAAAAATGATGTTTATTTCCTTCTCTTTTTTCTGTGTTGTAGACGTGCAGCAGTCTGTGATTGGCTCGTGTACTCTGGAGGAAGTGGCTGTGAAGGTTCTGACGAGAGTCATCGGACACTGTCCTCACAGGAACCAACTCCTGATCGACTGTGGATGGTGCGGACTCAGGTACCTTTATCAATATTGTTTTCCATTTTTAGATGACCTTAACTTTGAAGATGTCAAACTGTACATAAGTTGCTCGGAAAAGGATGAATAAATATATATATTTTAAGTATTTCCCCTCAATTGTATGGAAGAGCATTATGGCTATTACATAATGCAAAACCCTCTTCGGATCTTGAGAATAAAGACCATATTTCTATCTCACTACTACATTACTGTTGTTTTTATTTAATCGTTGTGGGTATCTATTGTTTTCATATATTCTTTAAACACTTTTTTGCTTGTTGCTCTCAGTCTAGACGGAGCTGGAAAACTTCCCACTGGATATGCTGTGATTGAAGGACACACAGACCTCAAGTGAAGCTACCTACTCTTTTCTGTAGTCTTAATACTAATTTCGAAGGATGCCACAAAATGACCATAGCACACATTGTGTTAACCTTGTGCAAACAAGTTTTTTTTTTTCTCACATGTGAAAAACAGAGAAAAGTCTAGATGAATTGAAAAATAAATGGGTCTGTGTTTAATAACTGCAAAACTATATTAAAACATTTCTTTCAATTCAATCTTTAGCAGCGAACATGTATCTGTTTGTTGTGAGCAGTGTGCTGCACACACTAAACTTTACATTTAACAACACAAGATGTGTGAAAGTTGGTAAATGGATGTTTTGATATAGTTTGTCTGTTGTAAAGTGCTACCCCCATATACTTAAATGAATCACGATTTTTCTCAGTTCTTCGTAATTCTTCAATGTAAGATGTGATGAGTTATTCATATAAAATGTTATATCTCCTCCAGGTTGTTGTCTATGACCCAGGAGCATGGCCGAGTGGAGCCCATCTCAGGGCCGCTGGACTACAGTAAATTCCCCCTGGGCTCTCTGCTCACACTGATCCCCTACCATGTCAGTACACTTCAATGAGTGAAGAGTTGAATGCCATCCGTTTCTTGTCTCGCTCGGGTTGACCCTGTTTCTATTTGTTTTCACAGTCGTGTGCAACTGCAGTGATGCATCCTGTGTACCATGTGCACTCTGAGGGCCGTCTGCTGGGCAAGTGGATCCCGACGCGCGGGTGGTGAACAGATAGCTAACTTGTCAATCATGTCATTTGTAATTAATCCCAGAATATAAGTGTAGAGATGTTCCAAAACCACTGATTTAATAACACTTTGCGTACTGTGTAGACCTCTGTTTTGTATGTGAAGCAATTTGATGAAAAATAAACAAATGTATATGCTTTTAAATGTTTAAATTAATAAAAGCTGTAGCTCTATGTTGTCTCATAATCATTCTATCAATGCAGTGTTTATAAATGAGTCATCATGTGAACATACTAAGACCAAGATGGCAGCAACATATGCCAGTAGGCAGTTTTTGGGCTTTCACTGATCCTACAGTAAGCCTATTATCTATACGTGATAGCTTGATTTGTATCTCCAATATGTCTAGCCTAGATGTGTCATGTATTTTTTTCATACTCATTGAGTTTTTTACACCATTTTTTGTTGACATGTAACCAGTAACATGTTTCAATAGTTTTGAATAATATCTCAAATATGCCTACAAATTATAATAGGAAATCAATATAAAAAAATAATATGTATTATAACAGTGATTAACTGCCGCCTTATTATTTTGTATCATTATTCACTAGTTGTGTTTGCTATTTTTGTTGAAAATAATCGTTAAACGCTGTCGTCTCATCAGCAAGGAGCTTGCGAACCACTGTACGAAGTGCATCCTGGGAAATGTGGTTTTTAGTAAAGCTTAAATTCTGATTGGCCACCATATAACCTTTCACTTGTCACGTGGTTTAAAAACTTCAGGAGGATGGCGCGGAAAGTTGTCACACTCCACTGTGTAGCTCTCAGTTTATATTAGTTTTTGTTTACATTTTCCTTGGGCGACAGTGACTCTTTTTCTGGTAAGTTATCATAGTTTGAACATATTTATTCTGTACCAGTTCCGTTTTTCTTCTCGACATTCATGTAAATCCACAGCGAGACTAATTTAACGCAACTTACACCACACTGTACTGTCTGTATTGAGTTTGAATGTATAGTTTGTGTGAACTGTAACTTAGTTAGCTTTTAGCTAGCTCCTGTCGAACTCTATACTGTATTTCTCTTTAGCCATGAGTGTGTTGGAGGTGAAGTTCATTGGTGATGGAGATGCTCTGGAGCACATCGTGGACAAACAGGAGGGTATGTACAACACTTAACCTCTATCCTGCTTAGATGTGTTGTGTTATGAGCATTATATATACACAGTCTGCTTTGGTAATGAGCAGATGGCTAACTCCTCTGTTTTACTGTCCGTTTGTGTGTAACTACAGGTGTCCCGAGCAGCAGTGGGGCTGTCCAGAAGATGGTCTCGTTTAAGAGCCAAGCTGGACGTCGGCCCAAAGAGGATGCACAACATGATGGGGATGAAAATGTATTCCTTGATGAGCAACATTATATAGAAGCTCTAGGAACAGAACATACAGAAGGTACTGTGTAATTATTGAATACATATCAGGGGTAGTAAACCTTGCTTCTAGTCTACTTGTCAGGTTTCCCCCCAGCTCTCGATGTGTTTGATCGGGTATTGTTATAAAGCTTGCTGTTAAATAATTCAAATCAATACCCTTCTTTCTCTTCAAAATATTTGTATTAGTTTTCTTGTCCAACAGGGAATTCCCACAGATGGGCTGAAACAGTATAACAATGCAGTGAGTTCTGCAAACATGTACTGTAGCATTACATTTAAAAAGTAAAGACCTTTTATAGAAAATAAAACGCCACCAGCAGCAAAGATTTGTGAACAAATAATTATGCCGGAGATAAATCAATACCCTTCTAACACTAAGAATACACTAAGTTGCCAGTTTTTTAAGTCATTATTAGGTTATAAAGTGTTTGTTTTTGTTGAAACTGTTTTGAAGAGTGTGTGTTACTGTTGGCATCTTCTATTGTGTAACACTTAAATGCTTCTAGAAGCATTTTTTATTCACATTTATAACAAATGTACACGCAGTATATTATTCCACAAAATATATTTTCAAAACTACAATGGCATGATATGAAAATGTAATGTTTGGATTATTGTGGATAAAATAGGTCAAAAATACTATTTACAATAACACGATAATCATCTTAAAATATACTGAAATATATTATTATTTCCCAGTTTTTATTTGAACAGGCTATATTTTTCACTTCTTCGCCATTATGGTCGTTATAATGGAAATCTGCTCTGATCAACTTATTTTGAGCGTTTTTTATTGCCATCTAATATAAAATTCTATAACGTCCGATCACTTTTCACAACTGATCCACGCTGGAATTGACCAGCTCCAGCTCTACTGGTAGAGCGTGAATTAGCAAAAGTCTATTGAGTTTGTTGCTGCTAATCATAGGTCAATTATTATTTAATCGGATACATCTCAGTTCCATCCTTTTCCTTGCTTTCACAGAAGATGATGAGGGAATGCACAGAGTGGCTGGATCGTCCATTTTCTCCTTTCAGAAATCCAGGCGTGGACACAGCATGGCCCTGACTGGTGAGAGCCTCAGTCCTCTTCCGTCATAACCCACACACTCTCTTGTATTGCATGACACCAGCTGCCTGTATCGTGTGATTATTCCTTTAGATTCCAGGATTTAACATACTTTGTGTTTTTGTAAATAGCAAGTGAGTTGGCCAGGACTCCCGGGAAAAGCGTGTCCTTCGGCTCAGCCCCCGACATTGAACCCTCGACTCCTACCAGGAAAGGTCGCAGTGAGTTCAGCACACTTCACTATTTTAATGTGTCCATTCTTTGCTCTGACTGTTAATATTCAGCTAAGTCCACTTTTCCCTCTATCTAACTAGACAACAAAGGTGAAAGCAGGACGCCACAGAAGGTGAGACTAGAAGTGATTTTTAGCTTAATAAGGTATGTCCACTTAAAGGGCTTGTCTTTGCCACTGACAGGCTGATATTGTGTGTGAACACATTTTTGGAAAGACCTCTTGGAGAGATAAAATGTTTTTCTTTCGATTTCCTTTGATCAGGTCTGTTTGGTATTGTGTCAAAACCAAGTATTGCCCTGAGAAGACTGGTTCTGAAATCTCACAAGGCATCAACCTTGTCAAAATTGGCTAAATATTCAGCCAGGACATTAAAAAATACTTTTTAGATAACACTGAGCTACGCTTTCTGTACTCCATAACAACAAACTCTGACTACACCGGCACTCCTCTGTCCGCTGACGTTTCCGATGTTGTTTTACGCAGACAACACTATAACAAACAGTTGGCATCAAGCGAACATTTTGTTACTCTGTAGGATCTTTTCCATAATGTTTTCAGGTTATGTATTTCAAATGGATTATTATATCAATGTGGACCTTTCAGTGGCACAAATAAGTACTTTTAGTGGACAACAGGTTAAATAATATCAAAGTTACCTGTTATCTTCTTATATACACTTCACATCCAGCATCATTGTTTTTCGTGAGCAGATGTAATCAGGTGAAATTGCTGCAGTGTCAGATGTGTTCTCATTATTTCCTGTTCTTTTTCTATCAGAGCAAGAAGGTTCAGTTTGTCTCCACAACCCCCCACAGGCTCAGGAAGAGAATCACCAGTGAGTGTAACATTCATACATTCTCTTACTGCTCCGATATTTAAAGTTGGAGTACAGCTAAGCTCTTTTGATGCTTTCAGCTCCAAGCGTGCAAGACAGCGATAGCGAGCTGTCGCCCTCTGACTCTGGGGAGGACGACGATGAAGACGGGCTCGAGGAAGAAAAGAAAGTAGACAAGGAGAACTTGAAGACTCCAAAAAAAGGATCATCTGCAGCTCTCTACAAGACCCCCGCCAAGAAGAGCAAGTCCGAAGCCCTCAACCAGCCCAGTATGGTGGAGGAGTATTTCGAAGCCCATGGCAACTCTAAGGTGTTGACGTCAGACCGGACCCTGGAGCGGCTACACACACCCAAACTGGACAGGGTCAGTGACAAACAGCCTGTACCTCCATGTATTCAACAAGCTGCTGTGTTCCCGTGTTTTAAAGCTGCATCCTCCTCTTTGTTTTGTCTACAGGAGATGTTGGGGCAGCTTTTAGGGGAGAAGCCGTCCTGCTGCGCCAAAGAGATCCAGCAGCTCTACAGCAAACACAGAAAGCACTTTAGCAAATGGATGTTACAGTTACAGTTGAGTGTGGTTTCCTTATTCAATGTTTTTTTTTATTTTTTTTTTTATTTGGTACAAGTGGCTGTGTGTTTTGTTTGTGTAGGTTGGGATTCAGTGTGATCGTCTACGGTTTGGGCAGCAAAAAGTCTCTGCTGGAGGACTTCCGCGTGTCTCACTTGGCTCAGGAAATCCACCTCGTGGTCAACGGATTCTTCCCCTCCATTACTCTTAAATCGGTCAGTGTGCACAGAAAAATGCTTTTATTGGTACAGTGTATATTTAAGCAATAGCTCGGGCCGTACCACGCCCCTTAGCTGTGATATAATGACCATATATATATCACGGCCTGAAGTGAGCTATTGCTTTTATAAAACGGTTACCAAGTGTGGCAATATGAAAGAAAAATACACACTCTAATTTAAATAGTTTTTATTAGTAAATAATGATGTTCAAAATAAAATAGTCCCTCCGAGGTGGTTGCTATGCAACAACACTAACAGCTAGCAAACATATTAGACAGAGAGAGCGTTGATCCATTATTTGGCTATTTATTTACATTAATGTGTATGTTGCCGTTTATTGTGCACCCACTGAAAACCTGTCCAGCATCAGTAGCATGGCTTACGTGGTCACTTGTATAGGTTGAGGTTGTTCTAGGCTGTTACTTGGCGTGGCGAGAATATTGCTCCACTTTCTCCGGTCCCCGAGATTGGGCTTCCAGTAGCTCTGGAGAGAGCTTTCGCACCTGTGGCCACTAACGGTCATAATTTCTCTGCTTTGTTTCAAGACCTGCATCAGAAAGCTTTTGAATGGTGGTACTTTTCCAGTTCGTCTACCTGCTCTTCACGTAGCTCTGCATGTCGTCGTTTAGGTGCTTTTTTCTTTGTTAGTTCGTTAGTTTCGTAACGGACGTAATGTAATAGTTGTAACGGTTGTTGCTTTTCTTAGACGCGGAGGGATACAGGACTTGGGAAAAGCAATTATATCATGGCTAAGAACCGACAGATTGCTTGATTTGACTTGTACGTTTTATAACAACAATTAAACTGCAAAGGAATGTGCATGGATCGGGGCTGATAAGGCTGGCAATCTTGTTTTCTTATTTCCTATAAGGA